CGGGTGCATCACTACCGGGCCCGCCATACAGAAAGCCTAACGGTCCCAACCGGTAGTTTACAGCAACAAACACTACCCCATCGGTGGGAAAGGCCTTTCCGTCGTACAAACCATTGTATATGGAGCCTCCTCTTAGACCCCCACCGTATATCCAAAACATAACCGGTACTAAACCAGTGGAGTTATGGGGCGCCCATATGTTCAGATTGAGACAGTCCTCACCAGCGGGCCCGTCCCCACCGAAACACGATAGCTGGCCGTGTCTATGGGTGGCGTCAAATACATCCTAAATATATCCCAGGAATTCATAAATATTAATTAACGTACAGAATATTCTGTGTATGAAATAATGAGTTTAATTACCGGAAGCGGTTTGGCTAACGGCTTAGTCCGCGCGAACCGGAGCGCACCGACTGGTGGCTCGGCGTACGGAATGCCGATAAATGTGTCGACCTTTTTGCCCAACACGTCGAGGGTCTGCCCCCTCATTGTACCCGATGTGGTCTTTACATCGACAGTGGCACCGGCACTTAGACCCAAACATATGCCTAATGATATACACAACAATAATGCCATAATTACTATGGTTTACGAAGTATTTTCTGAGTACTACTCATGAAAGCAAAACATGTGTCCTTTTTTATACTAATTTTGGATACAGTAATATAAATTGATTACAGTAGTAATAGTATCACATAATAATCGATAAAATTACAGGTACAGTAGTAATTTTGATGTAGTTTATTTAGTGCACACGAACAGAGTAGACCTAATTTGTGATAAAATACAGGTATTAAATGCTATTTGTATGGGAAATGAGCGGATGTTTGAGTGCAGGTAGGCCTTCAAAATACCTTTCTCATTGATTAGCTTGTTTATACATTATATTTAATTATGTACAATTGTATTAAAATATTCATTTTATTGCAAAGTATAGTTCAAATTTGTAGATGACTTATATTATATTTTCAGAATAACTTAGTTATCAAATTAATTTAATCATAAACTCATTTAAACCCGCTTTTCGATGCTCACAACCACTCGCTTAGGTTTGTTGAAATGAGTCTTAACTCTTAGCACCGGTACGTCTGTACTAGGGGTGCGAACTAACCGGTACTCCCGGACCACGTGCGCCACCGCGAGCTTTATCACTAATAATGTAAACCGTGTGTCCACACAAAATCCTTAAATTACAAAATGTCTAAAATAATTATTAGAGTATTCCATGACTAATTAAAATGTATATAGCTAAATACTGTATTTAGTAATAAAATGTAGCTTTAACAGAATAATCAAATAAAATTTAACATTTTATTTACGAAAAATTTAGTATGTAAAATGGGTTACCAACAAATTATGAACTGCCAATTTAAATTAAACAGAAAAATTGTAGAAAATATTAAACATAATTTTTTAATATAATTATTTAAGTATAAAATCTAAATTCATAAAATATTTAGCAAACAAATTAATATAATTATAATATATTAATTTTTAAATAAAAATACATTAGTCATTTGTAAATATACTGAACTCATTTGTTTTAAACTTTATTCTTGATCAAAATATCTAAGGTAATAAATAAAATATGGTAGTTATCCGATAACTAGCGGGATAGAAAGCATACAATTAATGTTTTATAAAATATAATATTTTATATTTTAAATAATATAATATTTTGTTAATGAGAATAGCTTCTATAAACTTGCTTAAGATTTTATTAAATGTAAAACAAAAATACATACTATAGTATCATAATTAGTATATACGGTCTAGAAACTGTTTATACTTAATGTATTAATATTTGATTAAACTATATTCTTGATTAAATATATCTAGGCCAATAAATAATAAGACATGGCCATAATGTGATTCATATCAGGCTTAGACATATTGGGCGCCGCCATCGACCACGAAGTTGGATCCGGTCACAAACGACGCATCATCGGACGTCAAATACAACACGGCTTTTGTCACATCCATGGGCTCACCCACCCGTCCCAACGGGTACTTCTCGGCCATACCCTTCAAAAATTCATCCGATTTTGCTTTATTCAGGTTACGACTGATTTCGAAAAACTCGGTCTTCACGGCACTGGGACTTTCATCGGAAAAAATATTTAATTACCATGCACATTAAAAAATATCAAATATAAAATTAATAAGCACATTAATTTAATTTTAATCACTTAAATATAAGCAAGCACATACTTGACAACGTTAGCCCGGATGCCTTTGGGGCCCAACTCGAGCGCTACGCACTTTGTGAACATATCCAGCGCCGCCTTTGACATTGAGTACAACAGGTCTCTCTGTTCACACATTTGTATTAGAATTTTATTTTTAAAATATATATTTAAACAGGGGCATTCAATAAATATGTAGACAAAAGATGTATGACAGATGAGTATGATAGCTAAAACATACCCACATAATGTTATAAAAACTTAATTTTATATTATTTTTTAATGCATTTTTTGTGAGCACATACTTATTGATTGTTTATAAATAAATAGTAAATAAAATAAATGTTTTATATATCGACATAAATACCGGTTTAAGGGCCGCAATGCTCGACACGTTAACGATATTACCCTTAGTTTTCTCCAAATGCTCGACACATAAGTGAGTCAACCATACGACTGACCGGAGGTTTGTGTTCATAATGAGCTCATACTTATCGAGGATATCCTCGTCCCATATGCTCGACACTATACCCCGACCCGCGTTATTGATCAAAATGTCCAACTTTTTGAATGTCTTGATAGTGTCGGCAACTAATCGGCGACAGTCGTCATCGTTGGTGACATCGGCCACCACTTCCAAGGCTTTCACTCCTGTAGGCGACGCCTCAGCGCACTGTTTGGCCACAGCGGACACCCTATCCTTTCTGCGACCGGTGACCACCACTTGAGCCCCGAGTCGTGCGAACTCTACGGCAGTGACAGCACCGATGCCACCGCTCGAGCCGGTGATCAGCACTACTTTGCCCGTGAAATCTCTGGAAGTCGTCATAATTTTAGACTAAAGTAAATATGTCTTAAATTTTATGTGAATATAGAGTTTTTGTGTAAAGCAATGAAATGGTGAATTTAAAATGTATGCTAGCACAAACAATATTTTCAAAAAGTAGTGTTTTTATAATGATATTTCAAAATAATAGGCAATGATTTTCATAAATATTTCTTGCTAATACTTTATTAATAATATCCAGGTCATGCTTTGTAATACAATATTGAGGTTCTAAAATTGTCGCTGTCTCTAAGGAAAATGCTTCACAATTTGACATAAATATACTCCAGTACATGTATTATATTTTTACAATTATGTTAAAATATAGGGGCATACAGAATTTTTTTGTATATAATCATCTTATATAGAATTTATTATATTTATAGCTATTTCAAACTTAATTAGTTAATATAATAATAAGTGTTATTTTTAGAAAATGTAAACCAAACCATACGACATGTCCTTATCATTGTGAATTTAAATTACATGTACTGGATTAATTTAAAAAAATACAATTTTTAATTTTTAATATCAAAACAATTTCCAAATTGAAAGTCTTATCAAAAAATATCTATATAAGACAGTTAATATCCTTTATAACTAAAGCCAATATTCAGTGGAGAATTTTGGAGAAAATCCACTGTTTTTAGGCGACTTGAGTTCAGTATAACAGACCTAACCTTTAATCTCTCTTATCAGTGAAATCAACATCATGTTAAAACCTTACACTATCGGATTACCTGTACAGGGATTAGCGAATAGACTAGGTTAGATCTGTTCACTCAGGCTATATTGAGTCCAAGCGATATGAAACAGTATCTCTGTTCCACTGAATATTGGCTTTATTTATAACAATTATAACAATAATCGAAAATAACATTTATTACAATTTTCATTGTCTTGATAATAATAATAATACAAGTAATGTATGCATCAAATTGTCAATTGTTTCAAATACTGCTGACTCTTGGCGACCCACTCGCCCATCACTTTCTGGTCAAACACATTGAATTCAGCAAAATATGGCAAACCAGTGGACAGGGAGGTGAGCCAACGTTTCAGGTGTGGCAGATCCGACAAATCGTACTGGGTCATCAATAGTGGCACAGTCGTGACCAACAGTGCCAGGTCTGCGATAGTCAAGTGATCTCCCGTCACATACTTCTTATCGCCGATCAATTGGTCCGTAAGTTTCAAATTAGTCTTCAGTGCTGTGATCTTGTCTTCGGGCGGATCCACACCACAGAAAGCCTTTTGCATCTATTTTATGGACAAATATATCATTAATAGCTAAATAAATGATATTTTCAAATAAGCATCATTATTTTTAAATCACATACCACTCCAGATTTCACGGACTCCATGAGCGATATGTCAAAGTTGAGCCACCGGTCCACTATAGCTCGCTTTTTGGGGTCCCGCGGGTATAGAGTAGAGTCGGGACTGTATTTGTTGCACAAGTACTGCATAACCGCCCGACTCTCCCATAACACAAACCCCTCGTCCACTATAGTCGGGATCTTATGACTCGGATTCAACTTTTAGATCAAAAATTTAAAAATCATTAGATTTTAATTTATTTTGGGATACTTTTTTATTTGTATCATTTATTCAAAAATTGATATTCTCCTAGATATTAATTTAATCAACAAACAAAAAACATATTAAACTAATAACTAAGCGGCTTTAACATTTTTATTTATTAAGCGTTAATAGAGTATTAAAAATTATATAAATCGCAAACAAACTTATATTATAATGAATAAATAAAACTATCAGTGAATATACCTTTTATACGTGTATTTTAATTAGAGACATACCTTAAGAAATTCCGGCTTAAACTGATCCCCAGCGCCGGGATCTATTTCAATGACATTCAGATCGATGTTGAGCTCCCGGGCAGTCATGAGGACAGACCTACAGAAAGGACTGGCATAGAAGGAGTAGATATCGATCGGCATTTTCGGTCACTTCGGGCTCAAAAACAACTGTTTATATGTAATACTGTTATAAATTAGAGTAAACTATCAGTAGTTAAGTGTTAAGTATGAGAGAAATTTTAACCATTTATATATACTATAAATTCAACACAAACTCAAGGACTTATTGACTATGACTCAATAGTACATTGATTATGACTGAGTGACACGTGGGGCAACCAAGTGTGTTGTTTGTGCATAATAATTTGTTAAATTACTTTCAAATTAATAGCTAAAAATTTTAGTTTATAACACCAATTTTATGCAATATTTCTAACTATTTAGGATGTGTTATAAAGTGGCCTTGGTTAATAAATAAATGTTTATTTCTTATAAATGTTTAATAAACTTGTTAGCACCATTAACATTAGCTTTACCATTTTATGGGCGTATTAACATTATTAGTGCTAAAGTGTTTCACTGTAACCCCAATATAGTGTACGGTATAATTTACACTGGTCATGTCATTTGCTATTAATTTTAAAATACATAAAATTTATTGTTCGGATTAAATACTGAAAAATAAGATTAACATTTCTTATATTGAATTCAATATAAAACAAATAAGCAAGCAATATTTTTATAATAAATAAACAATTTACAAACAACATAAAAATTTAATTTATTAAACTCTTAAAGTAAAAAAATATTTCAAATATTTCTTTAATTTTATATAATTTCCTAAAACTCATAATTTTACAAACTTTTAATTTTACTAATGGTATAACGGTATTAATTATATAAATTTACAGTAATATTATACTAACAAATATAACTATTTAGAAAATGTAAGTATAACGTGTTGACAACTGATTCTACATTGCACTAAAATCTAATCAACAAATATCTATTATTAAATATCACATATTATCTCACTATTTGTTAAGTCTACCCACAAACAGGTTATCACAATCATTAAACCTTGAGAATAATAATCAGAATTTATTGCCCATGTCTGTACATTGAGAGTACATTTAGAGTTTATTTATAAATAGTATAAATATATTTTTTTTAAATGTGTTTATGAATCACAATTTCTAATAGTATAATATAATTATACCACAAATTATTATTATATCTAAAAATGCCAATTGATTTATACTATTTCCGTGTCAGTGCCCCATCCCGGGCCATACTAATGACTGTCCGACACTTGCAAATCAATGTAAACCTCAAACACATAGACCTGACTGAAGGTCAGCAACATTCAGAGGAATTCCTAAAAGTATTGTATTTACTCAATAAGTTTTGCTATTTTAATGCAATTATAATTTTAATGAAAATATATTTTTACAATTAATTTAATTTAATTTTAGATCAATCCAACTCACCAAGTACCTGTATTAATAGATAACGGATTCACCCTCTGGGAAAGTCGTGCAATCATGCAATACCTGTGCAATGAATACGCGCCCAACAGTTCCCTATACCCTACGGAGCCTAAGGCACGGGCACTGGTAGACCGTTGGCTCAACTTTGACTCTGAACTGTACTCTACTATTGATAAACTTCAGGTATTATAATTCATACTAATATTGTACCAGGATAAATTATACAACACAGAGTATGATTACAAATATTAAGACTATGTTATAATATATGAATGAATAGATCGATAAATCGGTGAAAGGCGTTGAAATACCTGAAGATGTGATCACTAACTATAAGAATAGGCTGAAAGTGTTGGACAAACTAATCGGTGTTAAGCTGTATCTAACGGGAGATCAGTTGACAATCGCAGACCTGTCCCTATTGGCGACCACGACATACATCGCGTGGTCCGAAGAGTTTGATTTCAATGATTACCCGAACTATAAGCGTTGGAATACACGGCTTAAGTCAGAGCTACCCTATTATGAGGATATTAATGGCATTACACGAGAGGACAGGGATGCGACTTTGGCTAAACTCAAAGCCAGATTTCAATCATTTCGGATGATTTAATGTTTTACTTTATTTACATTAAATATGATAGAAACTGTTATACTTGATAGAAAATTATTTTTTATTTATTTTAACATTTTTGATATTTAATTAAATAACTACAGCTCACTATTGTTTTTAGTAATTTTGTAAAAATATTTTGTCTAATACAGTAGTTTTTCAAACTTCATAATTAATAATTAAACAGTATAATAACAATTTTTTAACATGTTCAATTAAATCGTGTTATTTACGAACTATTTAACTTTCTATTGATATACTTCTGACTACTTTTAGCCCATTCCTGCAGTTTCTCGGGCGAGAAATTTTTCAGATTTATGTCCGCAAAATAGGGTAACTCCTGGGAAAGGGTGGTCAGCCATCTCTTAAAGTTGGGATATTCACTCAAATCTGTGCCCAAATTCAGGAATATGGCAGTCGTTGAGAGCACCGCCAGGTCAGCGATGGTCAGGTGCTCGTTGCCGGTCAGGTAGTGGTTGTTACCAATGGACTCATCCAATAGTTTCATATTGTTTTTGAATGCAATCACTCTCTCAGGCAATGGGTCGACACCAATGAACGGTTTGCGCATCTGATTATCACAACATAATTATCAGTAAATGTTTAATTGAACAAGATCACCTTAACATACCACTGAATTTGCTATGGATCCAATCAATGTCACGTCAAAGAACAGCCAACGATCTACCTGTGCCCTGGCTTTAGGCTCCTTAGGGTATAGGGAGCTGTTGGGAGCGTATTGATTGCACAGGTATTGCATTATAGCACGGCTTTCCACTAATACAAAGCCGTTATCATTGATTGTCGGGAGGTTGTGGTTAGGGTTCACCTGTTCATTCAATTACAATAATTAATTATTTATAAAATTATACATTTAATTATAAAAGTTTAGACATAAGTTAATAAATATTGTATTATAATTAGGTTTGTATTTAAAAATTAGCAGTAATTTGACAAATACCTTAAGAAACTCGGGCGACCATTGTTCAGGACCAGGGTCAACCTCGATTACATTCAAATCAATGTTGAGGTGTTTAGCAGTCATGAGTACAGACCGACAAAACTGACTTAAATTGAAAGAGTATATATCGATCGGCATTTTCGGTCACTTCGAGCTCAAAAACAACTGTTTATATGTAATACTGTTATAAATTAGAGTAAACTATCAGTAGTTAAGTGTTAAGTATGAGAGAAATTTTAACCATTTATATATACTATAAATTCAACTCAAACTCAAGAACTTATGAATAGTACATTGATTATGACTGAGTGACACGTGGGGCAACCAAGTGTGTTGTTTGTGCATAATAATTTGTTAATTTACTTTAAAATTAATGGCTGAGAATTTTAGTTTATAACGCCAATTTTAAGCAATATTTTAACAATTTAGGATGCGCTATAAAGTGGCCTTGATTACTGTAATTTCTTATAAATCTTTAACAAACTTGTTAGCACAATTAACAATAGCTTTACCATTTTATGGGCGTATTAACATTATTAGTGCTAAAATGTTTCACTGTAACCCCAATATAGTGTACGGTACAATGTACACTGTTCATGTCATTTGCTATTAATTTTAAAATACATAAAATTTATTGTTCGGATTAAATACTGAAAAATAAGATTAACATTTGTTATATTGAATTCAATATAAAATAAATAAGCAAGCAATATTTTTATAATAAATAAACAATTTACAAACAACATAAAAATTTAATTTATTAAACTCTTAAAGTAAAAAAATATTTCAAATATTTCTATAATTTTCTATAATTTCCTAAAACTCACAATTTTACAAACTTTTAATTTTACTAATGGTATAACGGTATTAATTATATAAATTTACAGTAATATTATACTAACAAATATAACTATTTAGAAAATGTAAGTATAATGTGTTGACAACTGATTCAATATTGCACTAAATCTAATCCACAAATATCTATTATTAAATATGACATATGTACCAGGGAAAGTTGAAGTGAGCTCTGTGCCTTTAATTAGTTATACAGTATTAGTAATAGTATAGTTATACCAGTATTAAATATACAAAAATTTAAATGATAAAATACTCGATCCATTTAAAAAAAACTTAATATAATTTAATCTGATTTTATAATGTTAATTATTGTTAAATATTTGTTATTAATCATAGTATTCAGAAAATGTAAGTATAATGTGTTGACAACTGATTCAATATTGCACTAAATTTAATCAACAAATATCTATTATTAAATATCACATATTATCTCACTATTTGTTAAGTCTACCCACAAACAGTTTATTACAATCATTAAACCTTGAGGATAATAATCAGAATTTATTGCCCATGTACATTTAGAGTACATTTAGAGTACATTTAGAGTTTATTTATAAATAGTATAAATATATTTTTTTTAAATGTGTTTATAAATCACAACTTCTAATATTATAATATAATTATACCACAAATTAGTATTATATCTAAAAATGGCAATTGATTTATACTATTTCCGTATCAGTGCCCCATCCCGGGCCATACTAATGACTGTCCGACACTTGCAAATCAATGTAAACCTCAAACACATAGACCTGACTGAAGGTCAGCAACATTCAGAGGAATTCCTAAAAGTACTTGTAAAAGTAAATTAGAATTACAATAAAACATATTTTATTCATTATATTT